CAATTATATTGAAGAACTGACAAAACAAGCATGTGAAGCTGATTCTTGTCGAATAACGTCATTTCTTGCAAAACAACCTATTCAAATAATTCGAATTAGTGCACTAACACAAATTATTGATTTACTTCCAACAATTATACAACATGTCAATATGTAATGTTTTTTCTAAATAATATTTTTAAATTTTAAGAATCATTTTGTCTGTAGAGAACATACAATTGATGATACGTTTGGTTTGAATACTCGTTTGTACAATGAAATTGATCAGATTGTTCGTCAACGATTTGAATCTCAAATAATTATTACAACAACATCAACTTCACGTGCAATATATTTTCACGGTTATTTATTGGAGCAAACACTTAAACTATTTGATATAAGTCCTTTGGAGCCGACTCGACTAAAGATGAATATGATGGGAATCAATAATCTTCAAACAGTTGTTTGTCGTCAAATACTGATGTTACCTAAAATTATAATCACCAAAGAAAATTTATTTTCTGTTAACGGTAAATACAGTAGTACTAAATATAGCAAAAAAAAAAAACAAAATAATAAAATCAGAATCTTCGTACGTGCCGTGCTCAAACATGCCAAAATAACTGTTAGATGATATGTACTACTTATAAATGCAGAATTAGTTTATTTGACATCTAGAAGTCATTGAAAATTAGTTATAGATCTCTATTATTAGAGTAATAGAAATATTACGAATTACTTAAGTATTCATCAGTATAATGTTTAAGTCAAAGGTGTTGGAAAAAGTGACAGAATGAAAGTGACCTTTAAAATTTTTATTACAAACTTTTACACCTGATACTGCTCGATACTTGATTTATTCGAATTAGAACTATTTAACATAGTGCTCTTTTTTGTTGTACTCATTATTATTACATTTTAGACGAATAAAGTTATTCATGATTCTTAAGTGTTACGACGATTTTACTATAAATTTTTTTAAAATTAGGTAGTCCCCCTTTTAGATTGCGCTAACCATAATTTGTAGCACTAGATACAATGGAAGAATTTCTGACAATACATATCTGCATGTGGCACATTATTAAAGGTCAATCAGGCAATCTCTTTTTTTTTCTTTTTTTTTACGTAGTCAAAGAATATACATCTAGATGCTTATTCCCAGTCACTGATTGAGGACAGTCGTCTATCTCATTAATTCAATTTAGAATTAAAGAAAATTGATCGAAACATTGGAACCAAAGCTTTTGAAAGACTGGTTACTGATGAATTGTTAATCCACGATTATTTCATCATAACAAATACTGGACGACCTATTCGATGTTTTGCCAAAGTTTTACCAGCAAATGAAAACGATCGTGAAATAATTTCGAAGAAACTTCGTATTTACAATATTCAACTGTCTAATTATATCGAACTATCTCATTCAATTTCAATTCAACCTCCATCAAAATTAAGTATGACTGGTATACAACTTTTTCAGAAAATTCCATATTCGACAATTTATGAAATTTCTACTAAAACAACGGAATTATTATTCAGCATGTCTTCATTACGAACAGTATCGTCAAACAATAGTGTATTGAATACATTGAACACAACAAATCAGCCAACTACAACAAACTTCAATCGTGGTCCATCAGTATTAGCTTATTCAGTAAGACTATTAAAAAAAAAAAATAATTTTAAGAAAACCTGATTATGGTATATAATCAAAGAAGAAGCTTTAAAATAATTTTTCATTTTTTATAATTTCTTAAACATCGATTTAAAGAAAAAGGTTTCGTTTAGGGACTACAACGAATGTCAAATTCAAACCGTAATATTGTCATACGAAGATCTGAAAATAACAGTAGTATGTTTAATATCAAAAATAATATTTTCTTGTTGACAAATTCGACTTTAGATTCACAAGTATCAGATATTGCTGACGATGCTGATATAATTGTAGACGATGAAATATCGTCACAAGATATTTCAGTTATGAATGAACAATAAATAATTATAAATATCAAACTGCAAGTCGTAAAACTAAACTTATTGTATATTATAATTGTGTTTATTATAACTGATGTAAAAAATAAATTCACTGGCAAGCAGACTTTCACGATTTTCATTTTTTTACATCCACATTAATTTTTAAAGAAATCTTTCATCATTAGTTTGATATATATTGTATAAATTATGATAAGCATAATCTTAAACTGGTTATTTATCTGCAGATCGCTTTGCTATGATCACTAGATATATTTGATCAAGGTTGATATTAATTCACTTACTACAATACTATTAGTAATATAACCATTAGTTAAACGCGTTATTGTGTAAGATCGTAGTATACAATTTTAAAGAATGCTACATCAGAGTGATCGTAAAATGTAAAATATTCTAGCGACACAAGTCAGGATTTCATTTACAGGTGTTATTGGTAATAGACTATTCGTCTCATTTTTTATTTATAAATGAAAGTAGGCGCTTTATCATACTAAATAATATCTAACGTCATTTTCATAATAGTACTTGTTTATAAAGATGTTTTAACATAAGAATGCAAAATTATTAAGTGATGTATAATTCAATTAACAATCTCGATTATTGTAGTAAGACAAGATAAACATATCATTTCCATTATATTTACCCTTTCACTATTAGTATCACCATCCGTTTCTGAAACTACTATCAATAATAATCATATGACAACAACTAATGAAAGGGATATTATTAAGCGGTCAGTAAAATAAATGAAATGGTCAGGAAAATATATGAAATGATCAGTAAGATAAATGGTCAGTAAAAAATGTATAAATGATCAGTAAAAAGATTAAATGGTCAGTACTTAGATTATCACTCATATAAAAAAAAAGATTGGAAAAAAATCTGATTTTAATCGATTTTTTTGTGATTAAAAATCGATTAAAATGGGACAGTTTTAACCAGCTTTTTAATCAAACTAGTGATTAAAATAAATTAAATTTATAAATATCCATTTTAACCGATTAAAATTTTTTCATTGACTATTTTACTCAATTTTAGTCAGATTATTCGATTTTTAATCTATTAAAATCGATTAAAATTTTTAAATCGATTTTAATCAATTCTAACAGTTTTTCTTTTTAAATGAATAAGTACCAATTGATATCGAGTCTTGAAGCATGGAATTTATGTCAAAGGTCCATCTAGCATCATATCTACTAATTTTCCGAGGCAAGGAGTCCGAAAAAGCGATCGAACATCTGAGTTTTCAACATAAAGTTTGAGAAAACGCATTTTACCGTCGCCGCCATTAAAATTAATATTTATAAATTTAATTTATTTTAATCACTGGTTTGATTTAAAAAATCGATTAAAATTAGATTTTTTCCAATCTTTTTTTTATATGAGTGATAGTCTAAGTACTGACCATTCAATCTTTTTACTGATCATTTATATACTTTTTGCTGACCATTTATCTTACTGACCATTTATCTTACTGACCATTTCATCTATTTTACTGATCATTTAATTTATTTTACTGACCGCTTAAATAGTAGCCCTAATGAAATGGCTTCAGGTGAATATACTCTACTGAAATATTATTAATATCTTGAACTAAAAATTAGCCGAATTTAGTAAATCGAATGGAGTACATTAGTTATTAAAAGAAGATAGACACATAACATAGACGATAAATCGAATAACTGGATCATTTTTTTCTAATTGCATTTGTATTCAGATTATTCATGTCAACCATATCGAATTATTACAACAAACGACATTTTACCCTATATAAATCATTTCAACAGTAATGATATTTCAATAATAGGAAATAATAATGCCAATTCTTTAACTACTTTGCAAGAAAATAATTCCGACATATTTAATAGTATGAATATCAATTGTGAACTACTAAGAGAAGAAAACGATGACAACGGTATACCCTCATTTTATTGATAAAATTATTACTTTTAGCAAAGTATTGAAATCAATAAATCGAATTTTAGTGCTTGATTCAATAACAACTCCTAGTAATGACATGCGTCAGAGCAATAACAAATCAGTGCGAGTTTTTCAAAGTAATATTTCTCTTTTGGACTTATGTTAAGTAACGTTTTTTTTTAATAGCTAGTATATATCGTTTTTTCTCACCAACAAATAGTTCATTTACTGAGATTAATAGTCTGAATCAAAATCAAATACAGTAATAAAATTTAGTATTATCTTTTTTATTAGTTCTTTTTGTAGCTTTACCATACGCTGTAAAGTAATTTATAAAAGTTCAATACGATATTATGGTACAAATAGCAAAGTTTTTGATGCGATTGTTACTGACATAACTGGAGAAATAAAAATTGTTGCTTTTAATGAAGAAGCCGATCGTTTTAACAATATAATGAAGACAAATGCAGTAACATCATCTTGAATACCTATATTTTAAAAAATACTCTTTTCAGACGATAACTATTCAAAATGGAGATATACGAATTGCTAACCATAATTTTTCTTCACCATATTCAATATATGAAATTCGATTACTACCTAGTACAATTATTAATACATACAAATCAGCTACATTCAATCCTATTATATCAATAAAAAACCAAGAGATTCAACATGTGTATAATATTCCTCATGGTTCACAAGTCGGTATGGAAAATCAATAAATACATATTTTTTTTATTATCTAATACTACGATATATAACCAACGAACATCATTTCGGGATGTATTCCATCCCTAATTTAAAATCCGATAAGCAACAGATTTGCCAACATATTAGTTGCAGAAATGTAAACACATCTTGAAATATTATATTCAAGATAATACAGTTAACTTGTATCAAGATTTGCTATTAGATGTTTGGTACAGATTCATAACATTCTGATATGAAATACTAAATATATTCTATTGATTATCTTCTTTTTTTCTGGTTTTTTAATCTTATTTACTGGTCTTAGGATATAGATAATCATATTCTAAGTACTGTTAATTAGCGTTTCTAAGATCTTAATCAGTATCTTGTTTTTAAAATTTCATTTAAAATAAGAATGTTTATTTCAATAGTTAAAAACACCTAACTTTTACTAAGAAACAGTACAAAAAAAAATATTAAAAAAATTTATGGATTCAAAACATACTTCATTTGTTTACATTAATTACTTGAATAAATCAATTTTCTAAAAAAAAAAAACACAATTTAAAATAAATAGAATTGATTTATTAAAAATAGCTTTCATGAAAAATAATTTTTTTCAATTAAAATGATTGATATTGACAAAATTGTACTCTTTTCGTGAGACGTTTAGAATTAGAATTATAAATTATCTTTAGAATAAAATTTCTCTTAAATTAATCTGTCATTACTACTTTCAAGAACGTATATTCAGCACATACTTATTTTTATTTACAAACTCCATAAATAAAGAAGCTAAGACACCCAATAACATGTCGCTTTATTTGGAAAAAAATAATTTATTTTCCAAACATTAAACATTATGGTATTCTTATTTGCGAAAGCACCAATTACAATACTGCGTACATTTTGAAAAACCGCACAAAATCTTTGATACATGTACAGTAAACGAGTTCAAGACAAAAAATTAATCATAGATCATATTTTATAGTATTCGTTTCTTCTTGACATATTGGATCTCAAATACTATTGGATAATACATGTCTTCATTATTGAGAATTTCCTTTTAACACGATATAGTGAAAATTTAAGTTAAAAATCTTTTCGCAAGTAAATCTTAAAACAATTAAAAGTTTAAAAAAAAAACTAAATTGATGATGTCGCTGTTCTTCGAACTAACATATTGAGAAAAGGAAACATATTGAAATTGTTACTTTGTTTGTCGACGCTTTTTTTTTTTATCTTAACACCTTCCTGATCAAGATCTTGGATACACCTAGATCAGATATGATATAAAAAAAAACATACTATGTTCTGAAGGTTTTGATAAGATCTTGCTTACACGATATTCAATTAGTAAGAGATTACGCGATAAATAAAAAGAACAAAACTTCAGATGAAAATTTCTAACTAATATAATTAAAAAGAAAAATATTATATCATTCCGATCCTATGCATACAAATATATGATAATAATACTAAACGAATATAAAGCCATCTATCAATGACAAAAAAATAAACTCCATAGTTTTTATATGATTTGTTGTTATAAAAAAAATAAATAAAAAATGATTTACTAATAAGCATCGTTTTATTTATCTCATATCTTTCTTTTTTTTTTTTTTTTTTTAACTAATATAAAATTATCAAAAGATTTTACTTTCATTAGATGCTGAAGGTACAATTATTATCGATTCGGGAGTCTTAACAACTACTTCACCAATTACTAGTCAATCTCATAATCGAAGGTCGTTAAAAATAAAAGACAAAACAGGAGCCATCAACGTTACCATTTGGAATAATAAAGTAAACCCAATGTGGAAAAGAATACCTTGTTAAATAGATTTTCACCATCATTTTTATATCTAGATTTACGAAATACCACAACAAATCATGAATAAAACTGTAAGAATTCGGAATGGCAAAGTCAACCATTACCATGGTAAAATTAACTGAATTTAAATTTATGACAAGCCTAGATTTATTTATTTATTCTTTTTTCAATAGATTATGTGACGATAAATATAGATGAACACAGCATCATTCAATTCTATTAAACGAATGCATCTTACTTCAATTAGTTTTATATATAATGGTTCTTTGTTATTTAATGCGATATTATCTCTTTACGATTAACCTACAAATCGATACTATATCTTGACATTTAAAAAAAAAAAAAACAAAAGGAAACTATATTAAAACTTACTCATAGGGTCTCATTTTAATAAATTCCATCAGCGATAAAAAAAATGAAAAGAAACACAAAAAAAATTGAAAAAGAAATAAACAGCAACTAAAACTAATTTGCTTTTCTAGAGTTTATGCATGTTTATTAACCTGCAATCATTCATATATTACAACGAAACACAGCCATATATTATATTGATTTT